TTTTTTTTGGTTGGGCTTGTACTTGTTTTTGTTCTCATTCTAATTTTTGAAGTTGCTTGAATGTGGCAGAGGAAGGTTGGCTTTTGGAAGTCGGAGACCGTGCTTGATCAGCGCGGCTGGTATTTCAAGAATATGTAAAGTTGGTTTTCTATGTTCTTATTTTTTAAATATAGCGGGAAGTTGTTGTAATTGGAAATTGAACTATGTTCTAATCTTTCATGTTTAAAGTTGAAGGTTTTTTTCTTCTAAAATTTCATCTCGCATGGAACCCAAATCAATCAAAGTATCATTCCTATGCGTTTTATGTGCACCAAAACGCATTTAAACCTGGAAGTTTTCGAAGTATCTTCCATCTAGGAAAATCAGATTTTTTGAAATTTTTTTTATGGGATTTTCAAAGTTCTAGATATGCATAAATTAACAAAAGTTTGGCCCATGCAAATTTTGAAATTGTAAGTGAATTGGAAGAAAAATAAGTTAAAGAGATAAGAAAGCACGGAATGGAGCTTCATGCAAATTAAATGAGAAATCTGTGCTTTGGAATGAACTGTAATTTTTTTGCTTCTAATGCTTGCATATTGTGAGTTTGGCCACTCTTTGTTTGTCCATAGCATGGAACTTAATTATTACCACTTGGAATGTTTGTTAATGTTCTTGTGATCACTTGGTTTAGGTGAACTTCGACATTATAACTAATTTTTCTTTCGATACATTGAGATACCTATTTTTTAATTTCTGTACATTAAGATGAAAATTTTGGCAATTAAATTCAAACTGATGTATTTGGAAATCAATGTACTCGCTGGATAGTTGAATCATAAGCCAGATTTAGTTCAATGGTTGTTAATGCTGCTCATTAGTAGCATTTACCAACTTAAATGCATGTTTGAGCTGGGGGTGGAGAGTTAACAATATGATCGACTGTTAACTTGCTTTGAGATTTAGGGGTAATCCATTTTCTTCACAAGGCTATTTTAGACAATAATTAAGAAGCCTTTTCGGGAGAAAAATTGTGGACCCCGTCTTTGCGTCTTTAATGTATTCTATTTCTATGAATTTTATTTTGTTTTCTTTTGTGTGAAAGAGTATCACTGTTATACCTAACATGTATTAGTCATAGCAGCTGTCCCTAGTGATATGCTGAAATCAAGTTGACATTTTTATCCATGGCTCCTCAATAAGGAACTGCCTGATCTTTTGGGAGGAGCTGTATCAAATATAAAAACGATGACTGGAATGAGTTGAAAAGTATTATGTAGACAATTACGATCCGGTTTTGAATTAAAACCCTGACTCTAGTTTCTTTGTTAAGTATATTTTCCAACTCCTTTTTGAGAAGTGAAAGCTTACATTTTCTGCTGCAGCATTAAGAGGCCGCTTACTACATCAACAACAGAGAAAATTATCCCAGTGGAAAGTCAGAGAACAAGATATCTGGAGCATACTGAGCCTTTCACCAATCAAGACCAGAAAGTGAATCTATGCATAGATAGTCGTGCGGTGGGATCAGAGAGAGTGCCCAATCAGTCACGAAAGTTATTGAAACCTATTAACCAAGGTCCAGGAACAAAATCAAGGTTTAATGGAGAGCATGGATTTCATTTTGCTGAAGGAAACAAAATCAACACCATGTCTTCCCAGTTTGAGAACACTCTCTTTTCAAGCTCATTTTCAGAGTTATTTACTAGGAAGTGTAAGTCTCTCTCCCTCTCACTGTTTGTCACATATTGAATGGTATATTAAGCTCTTGATTGTGGGTATCACTCCAAGCTTTGCTCATAGCATCTTTAGGGTTCATGATTCTGCTTTCTGTTCTGTTGTTTAGATAACTGGATTGCACCTTATGTTCATCCTTTTTGCAGTGAGATTATCTTCAAATAACGCTCTATATAGCCATTCAATTGACACTGTTGCCTCACGCTACGAGGAAGAGGAACCATTCGAATCCCTTGAAGAGCTTGAGGCCCAAACCATTGGAAACCTTCTGCCTAATGATGATGACTTGTTTTCTGGAGTGACTGAAGGACTTGATTTTATTGTCCAACCAGTAGAGGAGGCAGAAGAATTAGATGTTTTTAGCAATGTTGGAGGGATGGATTTAGGAGATGATGATGCCACTGTTGTGCGAACAAATTCTGAATTTCCTGGGGATAGTCATCTGAGGTTATGTAATGGTTTAGTAGCAGGAGAACACTCTTGTTGTGAACACCCTTCTAGAACATTGTTTGTGAGAAACATAAACAGTAATGTTGAAGATTCTGAAATAAAGGCCCTTTTTGAGGTTAGCAATTGTTGGATAGTGATGCTCATTTCTTTTTTGGGTTTCTTTTGGGTTGTGTGTGTGTGCGTTCTTTACTTGAGCTTGTTTCTCTTATTTGGATGCTTAACCTTGTTGCAACTTCCCACATGTTGAATGCGCAGCAATATGGTGACATCCGTACTCTTTACACAGCTTGCAAGCATCGTGGTTTTGTTGGATCTCATAATATGATATTAGAGCAGCACGAAATGCAATGAAAGCGCTCAAGAATAGACCATTGAGGTGCAGGAAACTTGACATTCATTACTCAATTCCAAAGGTTAGCTTATTTGTTGCCATATTTCCTAATTCCTGATTCTTCTTTGATTTGCAGTTGGAATCAAAATATTGCTATCATGTTCAGGTTTATATTGTATTTGTGTATATTTTTCCAAAATTTCTACAAGTTTCTTGTTGCTGTAACATTCACTCTTTTCATTGCTGGTTGCATTATAACAGGACAATCCTTCAGAGAAGGATGAAAATAAGGCACTCTAGTTGTATTCAACCTTGATTTATCCGTTTCAAATGATGAACTTCGTCAGATATTTGGTGCCTATGGAGAAATCAAGGAGGTGAATTGGGGGTTAATTTTGTTTCCTTTCTACTATATAAATAGGCCATTGATTCATTCTTTTTCTTGAACCCCAGATCTTTGAAACACCACAAAGAAGTCAACACAAATTCATTGAGTTTTTTGATGTTAGAGCTGCTGAGGCTGCTCTTCATGCATTGAACAGCAGTGAAATTGCTGGGAAGCTGATTAAGGTTGAGCCTAGCTGTCCTGGTGGTTCAAGAAGAAGGTGTTTCCAAGCTTCTTGACTTTTTTTCCATTTTGCATGTTCTTTCTCACTTTGTCAACTCATGGCTATCAAACTTAAAATAGTCCAGACCAGTGAATATTTTTTACCAATTCTGGGGGCGGATAAATGGTTACTTATTTATGTAGTTTCAAAGTTCCCTCTTATTTTCTGCTTGCAGTTTGGTGAACCAGCTTTCTTTAGAGGAGCGAGATGAATGCTGCCCTTATGAGCATCAACGTAGGCTCTCTAATAATGCAACTGTGGCATTTTCTGGTATTGTTGTTGTCACCTAGATTTCCCAATAATTATATGTTAATTCACGTGCAAACTTCATATCTCTGTTCTCATCCAAGGAATTTCAATGTGCAGTTGGGTCAAACTCATATATGGATGGTGAAGCTACATATAAAAAAAATACAAAATGTTGATTTTTTTTATTCATTTAAGTTAGTTGGTTCTTGGTTGGCCAAAAAACATAGTTGGGTCTTGCTGATTTTCTCAGGTTTTCCATCTGCTGGAAATGGGAGCCATTTTCTTCCAGGACATCATTATTCATGGAGTAACTCTTATCACCCCCAGCCTCCAAGCATGATGTGGCCTAACTCACCTTCCTTAGTTAATGGAATTTGTGGTGCTCATGACACAACAAGGTGTCATGGACTTCCTAGGCTGCCACCTCATGTGCTGAACGCTGGTGCATCCATAAATAGCCATCATGTTGGATCAGCACCAACTCTTAATCCTTCTCTCTGGGACAGGGGACATGCCTACGCAGGGGAATCTCCTGAGGCTTCCACTTTTCATCCAGGTTCCCTTGGCACTATGAGAGGTTCTAACAACTTGCCACATTCTATGGAGTTCATTTCTCATAACATCTTTCCTCATGTTGGTGGAAACTGTGTGGACCTATCAATGTCTCAAAAAAATGTAGGACTCCAGTTACTTCACCCAAGGTCCTCAGTGTATGATGGGAGACGGCAAATCATTCCAATTATGAGTTCAGTTGATTCTCCTCATGAACATGCTAGATGCCGGAAGAATGAGGGCAGCATTAGTCAGGCTGACAAGAAGCAATACGAACTTGATATTGACCACATAAAACGAGGGGAAGACGAGAACAACACTTATGTTAAAGAACATTCCTAACAAGTATGTTCTTCTGACTTTGATTCTGAGAAACTGTCATTATTATAGAGTTTCACCCCTTCTTCAATATTAATTGATGAGGAACTAACTTGGTCCATCTAAAGTGCAAGTAAATAAATTTTGGCCCGTCAACTCTAAGATGACCGGATAATTGTCAGGAGAAAGGAGATGTGCTAGATGATAGTAGTACAGCCTTAGGACTTCGGCAATATTTTGATAGTTGCTTATTATCTAATAGAATAGAAATATGAAAAAAAAAATTAAATACATGCTGTAGAAAGAGAGGTAGTCAGACATGCAAAAACACAAGTATGGCTGTTCCTACATCTGCTTGAAGAAGCTCTTAAATTGCAATTATGATCAGTATCTCGGTTCCTTAAGCATAATTTATACACTTAAAGAAAATGTAGATCTCTTTGCTGCAAGGAGATGTATCCTCCTATTAATCTCTGGTACCAATGGTTTTCTTCTTGGTGTTAAATGATTCCGACTGTCAATTATAACTGCAGGTACACCTCAAAGATGCTTTTGGCTGCAATTGATGAATGCCATCGAGGAACTTATGATTTTATTTATTTGCCAATTGATTTCAGGGCAAGTTTCCTTTTGCCTGGAATATTCTTTTAGTCTTGACAAAGAGGGGTGCTGGTTTTTTTTTTATTTTTTTATTTTTTATTTTCCAAGCTTAGGATAATACTTGATAGTGATCAAAACGAATAATTCATTTTCCCTCATTTTGTTGCAGAATTAATGCAACGTGGGATATGCATTTATCAACATGATTAATCCTAGTCAAATTATTACATTTTATCAGGTTTGTTTTGTGTTAAATTTTGAGTTGTGGGGTCTATACCACTAAAAAAAACAAAAAAAACCTGTTATGCAAATTGCAACATGAAATGCTAAAGCTAAAAGGATTAAATTGTGGTAGACATTCGATGGGAAGAAGTGGGAGAAGTTCAACAGTGAAAAGGTGGCGTCACCGGCTTATGCTCGTATACAAGGAAAGGCGGCCCTTGTTGCACATTTTCAGAACTCAAGCTTGATGAATGAGGATAAGAGATGCCGACCTATACTCTTTAATACTGACGGCCCCAATGCAGGTGATCAGGTACCAAAGTTGACCGGAAGGACATGGAACCAGTTATTGCAGCCTTGTGGTGGTAAACAGGACCATTGTTAGGCACCTTTGCTTGGGTTTGAACCCAAATGAATCATTTCCCCCTTCCCACTCCCTAACTATATTCCCCATGCTCAAAGGAACAAAAAGATACGTGCATCTCAATGTCTTGAGCTGGGAAACCTGCTTATATGATTGGTCTTGACACCTTGATTGGGAACAACAAATACTTGTTGATTCACATTAATAATAAAGAAGGTAAAACTCTCATGCAAGTCCCTTTTCCTTCACCTTTTGCGGGTGCCATGCCCAATGGGGTTTAACGTTCGAACAAGACCTGGAAAAGCTCGTTCCACCAGCCATGAGGAGAATAATCAAGAAAGTCATTCAAATATGGTAAATGAAGGGAATTCCTCTAGTGGAGAAATTTGTTCTACGAAGGAGTTAGGCTAAGGAAGCCGATTATATTTGTGAGCAGTAATCTTCCAGCACAGAGTATGGCCAAATCGCTTCCACCCTAAATCTTGCTACAGGTATCAGAGGGATATACGTAAAGAAGGGAAAAAAATAAAAATAAAAATAAAAAAAGAATCTTGAAAATTTGCAAAAGATGAAACTTCCAAGTAATTCTAAAACTTCTTCGGGTTTACTTGCATTGTCGAGCAGTTGGAAAAAGGAGCATTATAAGTGAAGCATCAAAATTTTGGCTGATATTAAGAGTAATATATATAAAAATACAAAATATCCCATCATCTGTATAATGTATAGGAGTTTCTGGGATTCAAAAAGATACTTATGTTGCTTCCCAGTTGTGCTTTCTCTTTTTGGCATTCTCTCTTCTGTTGTCAATTTTCTAGGCTCTGTTGGTTTTGACCGTGGGAGCAGGAACCATCTGTAATCGCTGTGACGTAGGGCCTTGAAAATTTTTTAAATTACTGGCTCGATTGTGTGACTTATGTTTTTAAGGGAGAGAAATGGGTCAGTGGATATGAAATTGTCACCTTCCTGTTTCGAATTATTGAGTTCACATTTCTGTACCCGTGTCTCTCATTCCATAACGCTTCTGACGTGGAAATCAATTCTGGTTTTCACTTGAAAATTTGATCTGTTCTGCACCATCATCTTATCACATACGTGGCATTATGTCTCTTTTGAGCCCATTATCTTACCATTTGTTTTAAAACAGGTTTTTGTCTTCATCACCCAAATCCATTGACCTTGCCAAGATAAATCTATTGATTTGAGTGTATTTAGTAAAATCCGTCATTTATTAAAATGTTACTGTCTCTTCATTATAATAAAATATTTAATATGCTTAATTTTAAAAATCTTGAATGTAATACTTAATTCCTTAACTAATGTGATTCTTTAAACATAATTAATTTTAAATAATAACACATGAAAAAAAATAATCTTTTAATTATCACATTAATCAATAAATTCATAATTCAAATATAAAATATTTTTAAATTTCAAATATCAAAGTCAATATTTTACTAAAGTAACCATTCATTAACCCTTATCAATCGCAATTCCTAACTAAGCAAACCCTTCAAGCCAGGCACGGTGACTGAATTTAGAAGGAGGAAAGACAAAAAATAAATAAATAAATAAATCAATCAATCTTTAACTATTTCAGAATGAACAGTTCTCTTGGATTGATGCAATTTCACATAGATTCTAGGCGAGGACAATCTCAACAGGAAGATACAAATTTCCTAGTCTTGAGGTGACCTTTGTGTTCAGTTCATATATCCCAACTCACACAGTTAAGAATCACAAAACAGTTTAGAACCATTGAGTTACAGCCAAACAATTAGTGTATACTTTTGCATTTCCCCCACATAGCATCCTGCAAAGTAAATTTTCCCGCAAGGACACCACTGATTAGGACATTCAACAACCTGCGAAACAAACAAACAAACAAAAGCCTCTTAGACATAACCACTGAATGAAAAAAGGAAAAAAAGAAGGGAAGCTATTATTGTGGTAGTGTAATAAAAACGGCCATTGCTACAAAATTGTCAACAGTTGACAGCATCAAGCAGCCATCAAAGGAATTAGTAACTCCTTAAAAGTAGTTCAGGGCGGTGCTGCCCAAGAATATTGGTATAAATTCTTTGAGCCATCCAACCTTGTGGCTCAAAAGGATTAGGGTTCTAATTTCTAAGTAGACATAGGCTCCTTGCGATCCTAAACGAGGGGAGGTGCAGCAGAGCACTCAATTAATGATCCTACAAGCATGTGAGGAACCACTTACCAGAAAATGCAAATGCATCATTTGGGATTGAGAATGTCATAGTGACCTGGACGATAAAGTAAGGTGATAAAAGGCTTGATGGGCTCAGTGCTATGACTTGAAGCATTTGAATGATCACCGAAAGTAGGAACAAAATCATGATGGTTTACACAGACACCACCTTTGTCACAAAAGCTTCGATCAAGGTACACAACACGAATTGGCACACCCAAAGCATCCGAAAGGGCAGCAATGTCCACATGATCACTCTCTTCACCCATTGGCTCTACAGATGATTTGCAAACTACAAATAGATTATATGGTCAAAGAAATTTAAAAATCATGAGGCCGCAAGACATATAAAGTTAGGGCTAAAATTTCCAACCAACTTACCATAATGCATATAGGGCAAATTGGGAATCTATAAAGTATTAAAATGTGATCATGCAAAGGAATTTTGGTGTGATTGAAAAAAATAGATGATGTAAACTGTACAACATTGTAAATATTAAGACAATACACGACATGGGGAACTGTCAAGAAGAAATAAGGAAACCATTGCTGTATCACGTTAGCATGAACCGGTAATTGAACATGTTCAGCCCCTTAAAGACAACAGTAAAATGGCTTCTGTAACTACAATGCTTATAATATAATGTTGGTCATTCAAAACCTCATTTCTTTAATAATAAAGGATGTCAAGTGCACGTAAGGTTACAAAAAAAGTTGTATTAAAACTCCCAGAATAAAGGGTTCGAAAAACTCTGAATGCTTTCGTATTTCACCAGAGGTAACAAATCTGAAAAACATTACAACTAACCAACTAAACTTGTTATGAGATATACCAAGGAGAAAGACACATTAATACCTCAAAAATTTTGAAATACTCACCATAGTTGGATATTGACTGATCTCGACTTTTTATTATCAACTCATCCAGACTGACAAAGGGAAAAAAACCTTGTTAAGCAGCTCAGACTCATTTGATTTTCAATTAATGTAGGAAAGAAAATATTTTGGATTCAAGCCACACAAAGATCAATTGATCATGGTTATTAATACATTTTGAATGAAAGGACTCAAATACAGGAAAATATCAAGGCAGAGTAACAAGATGTATGCACCTTATGGAATCTTCATTTCCTTGAAGAACAATGTCCAGCTGCTCAAGGAATAACTGAAAATTTTTCACATGGAAGGACAGACATAAAATCTAGGTGTTAGATGGGGTCAAGTATTAAGGTGCTTCATGAAGAAAACTCAGTCCAGTAACAATATATCCAAAATAAATAATTTCAAAGGTAAATATGTACGACATCATTTTTTTCCCCTCAAAAGCTACTTATCAAAATAAAAGAAAACTTCACCCCAAACATCAACACGGTAGGCTTCTAAGGGGAGAAAAGAAATAATAACAAATCTGTGAGGTACTGAATTACAACTTGAAAGTAACAGTGACTTTCCCAAAAACCCCTTGCATGAGCACAAAATACTAAAGACACCTACTTTAAGCATGGACCTTAATATTTGTTTTGATGGGGCAATATGCACAAAAATAAAAACATCTAATTCCAAAATACATAAAATGGAACATAAAAACCTACTTCGGCAAAGGAAAGAAAACAGGTAGAAAAAAACAATAGGTTTACCCCAAAAAAGTCCTCAAATGAAAAATCTGCATAACCTAAGCTCTGAAGTGTCTTTCTACATTCTTTAACATTGCCTTTGATACGATCAACCTCAGCACGGTCTTGAGAACCCAAAATATGCTCCTAGTCAGCAATTTAAAATTTTATAACTTCCCACTTCCAGAGAAAACAATGCCCCTCCAACAAGAAGCTTGGGGATAAATTAGAAGAAAAATAAAAAACATGTACAAAATGCACCATGACATACAAGGTATGAAAACATAAAACTCTGGAAAAAGCAGTTTCCATCTCCTTGTGTTCTTCTAATGGCAGCATATTGTTGACCAAGCATCTGTATTAAGGAAAACCAACAGTAGTTCTTGTTTAGACAAGATAAATAAACAAACAATTGTAGCAACAAGAAACAAAAAGAACAAACAGACATGCACACATGAAAGCAAGATACCTTTATTTTTTCCAGCAAGATGGGGCTTCCTGATTCATATTCAGCTGCCAACATAGAGAGAGGTTCCTGCAGTACCATAAGAAAGTTTCTTGGCGTCACATGTAACCCGTAAGTTTAGCAAAAGGAATGAAAGTTATCCTTGCACAACAACATCTGTGCAAAGAAAAAATAAGAAGCAGACAAGAAAAGATGACCCAGTTGACATTCAAATGACATACAAAATGAAAAAAAAAAAAAAAAATCAGCCTGTACAACAAAATAATTAACCAACAGCATAATATCAAGACTAGCATCCTAGTTCTCTAAGCTTCCAGTCTCTAAGCTTCCAAAACTGATAATGTATCTAACCTCCATAAAAAATGTCTCCACATGAATATACATAGAAAATACCGTCCATTCTACATTTGCATGGTCAAATAATCATTATTTGATAAGGAAATGGCAATCAAGCAGTTGCATCAGAAATAACGTGACAGCATAAAGCAACTGGGATGAAATTACAGCAGAATAGCAACACAAGAGATATTACATATATGAACTGATAAAGTTCAAGAAGAACAGATAACAGACAAACACTACTTTTGCTAAGATGAAGAATATCAAACTGAACGTTCAAAACAAAAAATCACCCAAAAATCAAGGCAAAAGCAACCACGTTAATAATATCAAAGAATCATTTTTTCTCACCTTGTTCCCCACAAATGGAATTTTCTTGGCTTCCTCAGCATGAATGGCAGATTGTTGCTGCATAATGTCATCATCTGCGAAATTTGCCCAATCATCAAATTCAGATATGGGAATGGATACAGAAGTCTCCATTTCTTTATCAGCTATCGGCCCCTCCTGATTCTGCATCTTTCCTTGGGACAAATACTATTTGCAGGTTTATCAATATTCGCTGCCTCGCTCTGTAAATTATTGAAATATAAATAATCTGCTTCAAAAATAAAATTGCCCCAACCAGAGAAGGGGTTAATAGCCTCCAGATAGTGAAAACTTCACTGCACCAAAGTGATACTCATCTTCATATCTAATTATGCACTACACCATTCAAAATAGAAGTCCCAGAGCCTGAGCATTCGGTCATTCCATACGTAAGGGGTGCCAGAACAAACTAAAAATACATTAACATAACAATTTTATCATTCCATACTCCGGCAATGGAGTATATATACTTGTTTGTAGTCAAATATATAATTAGCAACCGTATAAGCCTTTTTGTAGAGTTCTGACAAATTCCACCAGCAGTATACATTATACCAGTTAAAGATATGATGAATCAAACTTTTTACATTACCATGAAATTTTACCAAATTTATATCAGCTAACTTTGGGCAGTCCCTTTAAGTTCCCATTTGCAAGATCCATTAACACCTTCTCTTGAAATAAACAATATGATTTGGCTAAACTAAATCACTAAGCACCGCTATTCTGAACTAAAAAATCGCAATCACCCTTTTGTTATTCAAACGGAAAATAAAGCGAATTAAAAGAGTGGAGTGAGTTAACAGAAAAGTAAGCTTACCAGAATTTGAAAATCTTGAATTTGTTTTGGCAATTTTCAGATCGAAGTTCAAAGGGATCTCCTGGCGACTCTCGCTCTTATTATTATTTTATTATTAAACCAAAGGGAAACAGCTTAGTAAACGACACGCCTCCCTTCCTGCAGTATGATTAATGTCCTATACTTTGGGCTTTCAGCTGCCGGTTGGGTTGGGTGATTGAATCGTGCACCGAAGATAAGGGTAAAGAAAAAAAATCCAGAAATCGATTGAAATTGGATTCTTCAATTAGAGTTGGATAAAACCTTCAAAAACCGAAAAAAAAAAAGAGTTGGATTTTTTTTATTCTATTCGATCAGCATGGAATATTAAATATTTAAATTTGGTTAAAATCATTTTTCAAATAAAAAGAGAAAAAATTTTTAAAAATTCAAATCGAATTAAATTATAATTTTTATATAAATTTTTAAATTTTTTAAAAAATAATATAATTATTTTATATCAAAATTTATTTAAATATATTAAAAATAATATGAAAATAAATGAAAATTTTAATTTTTAAAAAATGATAAATTATATCAAATCGATATAATTTAATTCAAATCAATTCAATTTAAAAAAATTAATTTAAATTCAAAAATTTTAAAATATCATCATCAATCGAAATAACTAAACCAATATAATCTTATATATTATCATTTTTAATAGAAGATATCTGTTTTAGTTTTGTACTTTTTTATCCTATTATTATAGATTTTGACATGTCAACTAACTATTTTGATAAAAGAAAGATTATATCTAATAATTAAAAATATAATATGATAATTGTAAACATCAAATTTGTTTGGTCGTAGAAAAAATAATAATAATAATATTATTAAATACAATAATAAAAATTAAATAAAATACATAATACACAATATAAAATTTAAAAAAATATAAAAATATAAAATATAATAAAAAAATAAAAAAGGGGCTGGTGGCAGTGGTGACTGGCATGGCACCACTGGCCACCTTATCTCACCCCTCTGATCACCCATATCACTACTCCTTTACTCTACTACCCATACCCTATTTACTACCCTCACTGTTAGATCAAATAGAAAGAATAAAAAGGGCATGGAGCTCATGCTTGCATCTCATGTAGAGCCTTGTGCCATGCACGGTCAAGCTCTATAAATAAAGCTCTTAGCCAAACCCTGGAACAGGGGGGGAAACGAAAAAAAGAGGAAAGGACCTTGCTAAAAAAAATATATAATTTTTTTGTAAAAAAAAAAAAGAAAAAAAAAACAACAAAAACCACAGTCTCATAAAACGGGGAACTTAGCGCCAAGAGTCTCTGCAAAAGAGAAAGCAAAGTCAGTTTAAAAAAAAATGAAGTCAGAATACCCAAAAAAAAAAAGTTTCATCCAAAACTTTGAGAGTAAATCTAAAGATTTTGGGACACTTTTAGGTGAACCCAAGCTCAGATCCGTGCTCAAGAGGTAAAGGGAAATATTTTGGTGTTTTGGGCATTTTTCGACGACCAGCGGCGACTACCAACGGTGGCCGGAGCGATGACAACGGTGGCTTGACTGGTCGGTCGATCGGTTAGAGAGAGAAGCTCTGAAGAGTGTAGGAGGGAGAGGGGGAGGAGAAAATGAGAGAAATTTTTTTTTTTTTTACTTATAGAAAGTTGAAAGCCAAAACGACATCGTTTCATTAAACGCCCAAAACGATGTCCTTTTAACCTCTGAGGATTTGCGTGTCAATCCGCGACCCGACACAGGGTCTGCGCACTCGACTCGTGACCCGCATCTCCTTCAGCCCTGATCGGTCTGTTTGAACCGCTGACACCAGACTGAATTATCGGACCGAACTCGTATTGATCGGATAGTTAACCGGTCCGATTCAGGTAAAAAAATTTTTTTAAAAATTTTTATATATTATTTTATTGATATTTATGCATATTAAAATATTTATTTTTGTTAGATTAAATGATAAAATTGTTAATTTTGTTAATTTTTTAAAATAAACTTTAAAAATAAAATAAAATAAAAATAAATTTAATTATAATACAAAACTAATAAAAAATATAGGAAAAGAAAATTCTTATCCGATGATAAGATTTAAAGGTACTCCGAGTAGTGATACTTACGAAATCTCTAGGTGAAAAGATTTTTTTTAAAAATATTATCAGTGTATTGGAGTATTTATAAAAAAAATTTCAATAAAATAAAAATTTTCCTTTTTTTGGTTATAAAATGATAATAATAAAATTAACTAATAAATAAAGAATAAGTAATAAAAAATGAGAGAAAAAAAATTTTATCCAATGATGGGATTCCAAAAGTATTTTGAATAGTGATGCTTTATGAAATCCTTAGGTGAGAAGATTTTTTTTTATATTACCAGTGTTTTGAAATATTTATAGAAAATCTTCAATATAATAAAATTCTTTTTTCTTCAAAATTTCAATTGAAAATAAAAAAAATCAAATAAAATAATTAATAAAATTACTAAGAAAAGAATAAAATGTGTGCATTTACATGGTAATATTCTGCATTGCATACACGACATAATTTTTTACGAAAAGTAAATTTGAGCTTCCAAGGATGGAATTCTAAGGTATTCCAAGAAGTGATGCCTAAGAAATCTCTAGGTGAGAAAAAGTTCTTCTGATGTTACCAACGTACTGGAACATTTGAAGAATTATTTCGATAAAAAAGATTCTAATTTATCTTTCTCGAATAAAATTTGAAAAATAAAAAAAATAATAAATAAAAAATCAAGAAAATTATTTTTCAAATACCGAAAATGAGATTAGTTTTTTATCACAATCAAATGATAACACGTAGTTAATTGGTACTATTTTAAACGGGCGTTGTGAGGGTGCTAATCCTTCCCCACACGTAATCGACTCTTGAACCCAGACTATTATGTAAACCCTAAAATTATCTTTCTAATAAATTTTAATTAATTTCATTAAAAGGATATGTTTAATAGGTGACCAATCACACCTAGCCAAAAAGGGATTGGTGATGAATCTGTTATTTTTTATTATTATTTATTTCGTTTCTAAATTCATCGGACAGACACAAAACCGTTATGATAGCTTGGCGACTCCGCTAGGGACTACATTTTATTTTCGAGAGTTAAGCCAAAATTAACTATGTGTTATCCTTAAATTTTGATTCAAATAGTCCTAATTGTTTTTATTTTATTTTTTTATTTTCAACAACAAATCAAAATCGAAAGAAAAATTCCCTCACATTTTTTTTACTATGCCTCTTATGCTTTATTTTTTTTGTATATATTACTCTTAATAAATTAGGATATATTTGCACACACAATGACATGGTGCATTTCATGCATGAGCTCTATACCTGGGCTCCGTCCTTTATAGGAGGAAGTAAAGTACCTATGCCCTCGTGAGGTGATAAGCTTCGTAATGGCAAGCGAAATACTTTCACTCAAATTGAACCTTTTTCATTCGTAGCCTATAATGGGTGAGGATTGGGATGCTTTACTAGTTCAACATGGATGACAGTGAAAAATAATTTGAGAACCTTTAGACACTGTCAATCCAAACCCAGCATATAATAAGCCTAGAAAACCAGCCTTATGTAGAGCATCGTCCACCTTCTTGTAGGAAATACCTAAGAATAAAAGTTTTGAGTAATACAAAACAAAACAAAACAAAAAATCTCAAAACTCAAAATATAATATTTTTTTCAAACCGCATCCTTACACTAACTCAATTTTGTTTCATTTTCTTTTTTTTTGACATTAATCATACCATACAATTTTGCATTGAGATATTTGCTCTAGGACATATTTTTTTCAAGAAGTTTTCATGGATCCCGTAGAACTACAAATTTGCTCATCTTCAGTTAGTGTGCCATGTGAGCCGTATAATAAAGTACATGTTTGGTTGAAAGAAGCTCAACAAAAGAATGAAGATTGTTTGCCTACCGGTTATGTGTCTGAATTACCCGAAAAAGTGCATTTAGATCTCACACAGAATGATTTAAAAGAGTTAGTTGTTGTCTGGAGTCAGTTAAGTGAAGAAAAAAAAACTTTTGCAAAAAGTACGAGCAGATTGCATCCCTCATTAGTGATCGATGAATAGCTAGTCAAAACAGCTATACAGTTTTGAGATCCATCCTATAGATGCTTCACTTTTAATTAAGAAAATTTGGTGCCAACTATTGAAGAGTATTTGATTTTGCTTAGAATAAAACTACAATGTTCAGATAAAATATTTACCCGAAAGCCAAAATCAGGTTATCGTAAAAAGTTAGCCAAGCTTATGGGGGTTAAAGTAGAAACCATTGATTCCTTTGTGAAGCCTAAAGGTGAACATCTCGACTTTCGTTGGAGTTTTCTTTGAAACTTCATTCAGGGGCATTTAAATGATGATCAAGGTATGGTTATATTTGCTCTAGCATTGTATGGCATGGTAATCTTTTTGAAAACTTTAGGTTATATTGAGATAACTATGGTAGATTTTTTTAAGCAAATTGAAACCCAAGTAATTAATCCCGCTCCAGTAGTCCTAACTGAAACTATCAGGTCATTGAATTTCTATCGACGAAATGAAAAATGACGATTCATTGGATGTGCATCTCTATTATATGTATGGGTTAGAAGTTATTTCAAGTGTAGGAAGAGTGCATTTTCGAAGCCGTATTTACAAAATAAAGCACCAATTGAAGAGTTTTGCAAAAGTTAATGGCCAACATTAAAGACTAAAGAAGAGTGGGTCCTTTTCTTACGAAGGCTTACCAGGGATGAAATTGAATGGATGGCACATTGGATGCCTCAGGTGCCCTTGTTGTATCATGGAGGAAACGAGTCATGGATACTGTTATTAGGGCTATGGGGCATTATAAGTTATGCTCCATTAATGGTGCTTAGGCAATTTAGTGCAAAATAGTTTGTTCTTACTACTTATGACCTGGTCCAAGTAGAATTTATTTATGGGGAATCGAATCTATCAAGAACCTTAGAGCAGTTGATCCAAGCATAAAAGAGAACACGAAGAATGAAGTTAAGGCCTCTCATTGACAAAGTCACTTTTGATTACTAGATTTGAAAAGCAAGGCAGCCTAGAGACATAGTACTCTCTCTTG